TTTTCTTTTTATTAATTTTCTTTCATCTAAATACAGAAAAAATAAATCTTGTTTTTTCCATTATTATCGTCACTTAAGACAATTACACTACCAGTTTACTGAAATAAAAACATAAGGCTAAAATAAATCAGGTAAGAGTTTTTACATTGTACCTCGCAAGGAACAGATACCATCAAACATTCATAACTTCCCCTGTTTTTCAACCAAATACTGGTGCTAAGTTGGTAATGTATTTCAACAAGAATATTTTCAGCCCGAAAACTACCAACTGTTGATGGTACCTCATGCAGTATCAATAAAGTTTCTGTTGATTGTATGATTAACCTCGTGTTATTTTCAACATATTTTTGAGGGTACAACCAAAGAGATGCCTACAAAATTGATAGTTAACGACACTTTGACCACTTTTTTCCTGAATTATCTGATTGTAATTGGTATTTATTACATCTTTTTCATCAAGTTGTAGCAGTAGTAGAAAGGGAGAATGGAAGCAGTATCTCAGCAACCCAGTATCAATAACAATAATAGTAATAATAATAATAGTTATAGTAATAATACTAATAATAGTACCAATACTAACACTAATAATAATGATAATAGTAAATTTGTGTAATTTTTCAAACCAAATTGAAAATTGCTTCATGTTGTTGCAAACAAATTGAATCAAAAAAAGAGAAATTTTCAATCAGCTTCAAAAGTAACCTTCCTTTTTGCCTCTTAGTTTTTTTCTTCTCAACAAACTACAAAGTTTATTCTCTCACAAACAAATCTGTATATTTTAAGACGTAGAAGGGGGAACAGCTGTGAAAGGAATGTCAGAAAGTCATACTGATAATTTGCCTGTATTAAGTAATAATACATCGACAAGGCTGCTATTCAACTCCTATAACTTGTTGCATATAATACATGACTTTTTCCCCCCTATAAAATTCGCTCTTTTGATGAAACCCTTCAAAAAATTGGGGAGAGAAATGGAGCGAGAAAGGGGAAGAAAAAACTACAAAAAAGTTTTGATTTAAAAAATGTAAATATTTCACTTAGTGGTATAGTTGTAAACTTGTCTTCACTAGCTTCAACTTTTTTCTCTTCATGTGTGCTGTGAATTGACGGTATATATTCAGTATCTGTTTAGTAAACCAACTGTGAAGATACAGTACCAAATGGTTGAATCAGGAACGAATTATTTGCTGATTTGTAGTAACCTCAATTGACAGTGTGCTTTTTCTCATTGTAGACGAAGAAAAAAAAAAAGCTCAAACTACATATTTATTGATTCTTTGTATTTTTTGTTAATTTTTGTTACGCTGTTTCAGAAAAATATATCGATAATGTCTGAAAAAACGAAAAAAAAAAAGAATAGAAAGAATAACTCTTTTTTCTTTTTAATAAGTCAGCTAAATAATCAAGATAGTTAGCTAGTCAGTCACCAAATACCGTCCAACTATTCCATCAGGTTTAACAGTATTAAATCACTGAAGAACAACAACTAATTCTTAGCTTTTCAAACATATACACATTGTAGAATTTGCTGTCCAACTTCTATGCTTCATCAACAAAACTATCTGCTTTTTAGACTGTAAGTTACGACTCATATATACATGTAATAAACAAAATCTCAAACTACCAAAATATTTGTCCAATTTCAAAAATGATTAAATTATAAAAAGCTTAAACTTTTTGCCCATATAAATATTGAACGCCTGTGGCGTGGCAGTAACCAATTATCCGGTAAAAAACTTCATTTTTTCCCCTTGAATAAAATAAGATGAACATTGTCTGAAAAAAAGAAAAAAAAAAGGAACATATGAAAGCAGAATGATGCGTTGGCACCATAGTTGCCGACCACAGTTGGTTAAAAAAATATCAAATATTTTGATATTCAATTGGTATTATCATGACACAACGATTTTTTGCTCAAATATTTCGATTCGGTGGTTTTGTTTTTTCTCTTCTCATTCAAGTACTGCTATGCATCTGGAGCACAACTTGAAGGCGCACCAAAAAACTACAACAATTTCGCCTGAATCCCGCACTTCAGATGACCTAAAAAAAATTAATATTTATTAAACAACACATTCGGAGCCTTGAAATATTGGATACCGCGACAGCAATGGTACGCCTGAACAATTTTTACGGGATGTAGGGGAACTAAGGATATACTCCAATAATATTGAGCTATTATTAATGAGTCAAATTTTGAACAGAGGATACTGAACGGAAAAAAAAACAAATTTGAGGAAAAAAA